TGCTGAGGGGCCGGGGAAAAGACCCCGGGAAGAGGGATGATGGGAGAGGGACTCAGGAAGGGGAGTTCAGGAGCAAGACCCTAGGACCTAGGAGGACCCTGAGTAGAGGGGCCGGGAGGGGAGCCCAGGAGGGGGGCCTGGAGAGGGAGACCAGGGAAGAGAGCTCTGAGGAAGAACACCCCGGGGGGGACGTAGTCAGAGGTTCTAGGAGGGATCTAATAAGAGGGTTCCAGGTGTCCTGGGGCCTCTACAGGCACCGGGGTCTCCAGGGTGACAGGGAGTAGTCTTCAGGAAGGACCCAAGCGGCCTTAGGGTTCCAGGGAGTGGGCTCCAGGGTTTCCAAGAGTCACAGGATGCACAGGAGGGACCTGAGCAATGTTTCTGAGCAGGGTCTCAGGGGAAGGGCTCTAGGTTTCCTGGGGTCATCAAGGGTGTTAGGGTGAGGTATCAGGAGGGTTCCTGGGTGAGATCTCCATGAGTCCCTGGGCAGAGCTGCGAGTGGGTTCCTGGGGGTTCCCTGGGTTCCAAGGGACTCAGGTTGTCGGGACTATAGGAGTGGGCAATGGGAGAGGTCCAGAGTCTTTTACTGGCTGCATAGAAGAATTGCTCTGTCTTATGGGCACAGGTTCCAGTAGGTGTCTCGGGGGTGGGTTCTTTCTGCCTGCCTTGGCACTATTGGGGTGGGTTCTTTCTGCCTGCCTTGGCACTATTAACCCTGGCTGCTGTGGACCGATGTTTGGGCCAGGATCCTTTTGTCCCCTAACAGGACTGGTTTTAGTGGATGAGAGTGGTTTTAGGCAAGGAGCAAGGGCTGGGCTTGGACCTCCTGGCCGGGGCTGATGTTTGATGTCTGTTTGGGACTCACCATGGTACTGCCTGCCTGGTCTTTTTGCAAGGCTCTTATCACAACCTCTCCAACTGCCTGCCCCACCCTGTAGGGTCCCTTTTCCCCGCTGCTTGTGTCATGGCCTAATACAGAATGCTGTACCACACAAACTTGGAGCTCAGGGAGTAGGTGCCTGGTGCCATCAGCACCATCCACAGCGGCCTTAGGTATTTCACCAGGGCACTGGGGACCAGAAATGTGTTTACATTTTAACACAAGGCTTTAGTCACTAGTGAGCATCGCAGCAAGGGAAAGGCTGAGCTTTTTAAAGGGGAAAGAGGACTTACAGTCTGTATCTACATTTGTAGTGGACACAGTCATTATACCCACATTTGGGGTACAATGTGACATTCAAGACATGTATTCAGTGTGGGCCCAGTCAGGGTGATTGACCATACTGTCTGATGCTTATCATTTCTTTGGGAAGAGAACCTCGAGACCCTCCTCAATAGCTACTTGCAGGCATCGACCATAGTCACCCACTTCCATGCACGGGAAGACATTTTTCCTCTTCAGCTGGTCCCCAGAGCCACCTGTCTCTACTGCTCCCTTGTGCCCTTCCCAGATCCTGTAATATTTGGGTTTCTACTCCCTGGAGAGCAGCTTTTTAACATCTACACATGCAGCGTTTTCATTTCTGTGTTGATTTCCTTTGTGACCCTCACACACCTAGGGGTCTTTTGCAGGATCCAAGTAGAAACCTGGGAAATTGCTCCCAGTGCTGGACTCTGGCAGGTTTTGTTGACAGCATTGAGGAGCAGCAGTGGGTGGTGCCCTCTAGTGTCACAGCTCTAGGTACTGGGGGGGGGGGGCTGATTAAGTGTGCTTGGGCATTGGGGATTCCTCAGACCTTGACAGTTGCTAGAACTGTCTCAGCTGAGCTCTGACACCCTTGTCCCTAAAGACATGACAGCCCTTGAAGACTTCTGTGCGCCTCCGGCTCCGGCTCTGTCACTCTCTGCTCCTTCCTGTCACGCCCTAGAACTCAGCTGTTTCCCACTGTGCAGCCACTGCCACCTTTGCTGCTTCTGCTTCTGCTCCTGCTGACCCTGGTCTTGCCCTTCCTCCCTTGTAGCTGCTGTGACTCAGTGTGCTGTCAGGCTGTCTGCTCCACTGTCAGAGCTGCTGCGTCTGCCTTTCTCTAGGCTACCAGTCCCTCCTGCCCCACTGGAAGTGGGTGGGGTAAGACTACTCCAAAGAAGCTTGCATGGACTGTATCCTACTCACCAAATGAGCTCTGAATGAGCTGGACAGCCTGGTTGTATAGACAGGGGAAAAGTGTGTACCAATCACAGACCTCCTTTTTGCAAATGAAGGTTTGTGTTTGCACCAATCCCAGCATTTTGTCTTTAGCGTCCATCCTGCTGATTTAGGGGGAAATGGTTACAGGGTCATTCAGAGTTCACAAAGGCTTGTGATAGCAAAAAGTCAAGTGCAGACTGAAAACCCTGGCAGAAGCTGGGCCTTTAGGAGCTGGAGCAGTCAGCTGCAGGCATTGTGTAGGTTCCTCAAAGCATGCAATGTTTAACATGGCTGGTGCTGGCCTAGGGGTAGTCCAGATGGCTGTTTGACTGACAGTCCCTTTGCTTAAGGCAGCTGAAGCAGCGGAAGAGTCAATTGCCTCAATCTCCCAGTGTCTTTGCTTGCTGACAGGAAGAAGAACATTAGAAAGAATGCTTATGCTAAAACCTTAAGAGCATGTCATTGTCTCTAATGCTAACTTAACAGTGCTTTAGCTATGTGTATCATTTTCCCAGGGCCCAAGAACTGGGCCCCCTTGTTTGTCTCAATGCCATTCTCTGTAACCAGCTTCTAGTTCCATCTATACTGCTGCACATGAAGTGTCAATCTTTTTAGGGTTTAATTGTATTAAAAGTGACTTAGCTTCATGCATTCCACTGTGTAAAGATACCACCACCACTATGAATGTGGTGATCAATGTGAAATTGGAGTTGGTGATGATAGAATGGGCAAGAGTTGAGACTGTCAAGGCCGCCAGAATCAATTGGACTTCTTCCCTCTTGAAAACACAGGAGTGATTTCTGCTGGTTGTGGCTGGGTTTGCTTTTGCAACGGAAACACAGCTTCTGCTCTCTGAATGGTTGCAGCCTTGGAGCAAGGTCTGAGGCCCACTACCCTAAGACCTGTTTTCTTAAATGTTTCCACCAGTGACCCCTTTTCACTTGAGAAGTTTTAACATGGTCCTGCATATGTAAGTCTGTAAAACAGTTGTACAAATGGAATATTAACTGATGATGATAAATCATAGATGTATCTAAACAATTCATTTATCAAGGATGACAGCGAATGAGATGGATATATTTGTTTTAGATAAAGAATTAAATCTTGGGGGCTGGAGAGATGGCTCAGCGTTTAAGAGCACTGGCTGCTCTTAAAGAGGTCCTGAGTTCAATTCCCAGCAACCACATGGTGGCTCACAACCATCTATAATGACATCTGATGCCCTCTTCCGGCCTGCAGGCATGCATGTAGACAGAACACTATACATAATAAATAAATCTAAAATAATTAAATCTTGGCTGAATATTTGATACAACAGGATTCAGAGCACAGTGTTGCTATTTTAATTTTATCATAGTCAATACCCCAAAGCCCCTCTGTATACATAAATGAGTAGAACAAAGTGGTGCAGAAGGGTGCTAAGGGCCAGCTCAGAAGTTGTTGGGAAAACAACTGTCCTGATTCCAAACCTAATTCATTGACCTTTTTTTTGTTCTAAATGGAACTCAAGTCAGAAATTCAAAGAGCAATTAAAAAACAAATACATAAACTTGCTGTATTTGAGTGTGTGCACCACAGTGCACATGTAGAAGTCAGAAGACAACTTAGAGTTGTTTCTGTCTCCACAGTTTGAGTCTTTAGTCACACTGAGGTTGTCAGGTTTGGTGACAGGCACACTGAGCCATCTCACCGGCCCCAGTAAGTGATTCTTTATTCCAGGATTTCCAGAAATATGGAGAATATGTGAATCAGCAGGCTAGGGAGATGGCTTAGTTGGGAAAGTGTTTGCCTTGCAAGCATGAGGACAATGGGGTCAGTCCTCAGAAGCCTCTTTCTGAAAGACATCATGGTACACACTGTAATTCTAACTCTGGGGAGGTGGAAATAGGCAGATTCCTGGGGCTCACTGGAGTTAAGGGTAGTGAGAAAGGCTGTCTCAAAAATTCAGGAGGACAGTGCCTGAGGAATAACAGCTGAGGTTGTTACCTGGCTTTCACATACATACACTAGGGTGTATGCTTCTCCCTACACATTGCTTGTGTGTGTTAGACATGACCAATAGGTGACTTGGTTTTCTTGTAGGATTTTGGACCTGGAAGTGCCTTCATCTGGTCCAGTGCCCTGCCATTTCCATGCAAGGACTGGGCAGTTAGAAAGCACTAGTGGAAGCTTCCACTCTGGAGCTCAGGCAAATGATGTGAACCTCAGTTGTTTTGTCCAGTGCTGTGGGTAGAACCCAGGGCTTTGTGGGAGTGCAGCAAGTGCTCCTCCACTGAGCCCCATCCCCTGTGCAAGTAGTTTATATACAAAACTCTCAATACTTTGATTTTCTTGTCTGCCAGCTGTCTTTCTGCCTCTCAGAGAGAGAGGTGTGTATCTAACACAGGAACCTCTGGGACCAGGAGGCAAGTGCCATGGGCTTACACTGTTGATTCCTACTAGGTTTTTCATTTTCGGAAATTAGAAAAAGCCACTTTGTCTTTAATATCCCTAGTATAAAATTATCTGAATTGAAGTTGACATGTTTAAAGTCACTTGTTTGTTTCATTTTTTGTTGGGGAGTTTTGGGAGATGGTCTCACACTACAGCCCAGGCCAGCTAGGAACTTAACTATGTAGCCTAGGCTGATCTTGACCTCCTAGCAAGCCTTCTGCCTCAGCCTCCCCATGCTGGGATTACAGGCATGAGCATGTAAATCAGGCAGCATGGTGGCCCATGGCTGTAATTGCAGCATTTGGGAGGTGGAAGCAGAAGGGTCAGAAATTTAAGGCATTCTGAGTTCATAACTTCTGGCCTGAGCTACATAAGACCTTGCTTCAAAAGACAAACAAAAATGGCTACTTGCCAGATAAGTTTAGTTTTTGTTTAGTGAAATACATTCTTTTTTCAAGTAGTTTGGAATGGGTTGCCTGCCTCTTCACACCATATATCCAAATGCTGCTTTTTCGTAGATAAGATCTAGTGTTTAATTTTGTGGTTAAAATGGCTGAACCACAATGGTCATAGTGACCCAGAGTTTGAGGTTTTGCAGAAAGCTTCCTCATTGGCTGTGTATGCATCCACCTGAGGAAAAGGTACTCCTGGTGATCACCTGTGAAGGACTTACATACAAATTATCTTGTTTGAATGGCCGTGATTCCAATGCTTGGGAGGTTGAGGCAAGAAGGTCCTGAGTTCCAGGTTAGCTTGAGTGATGTAGTAAGATATTATTGCAAGAGAAGATTAATCGTGGGAAGCTGTTTCCACCCACAGAGTTTGTATGGGCTGAAGGAAGCTTCCTGCTTTGACCCCCTGTTCATTTAATACAAAACCTGGAGCAACTTGCCTGAGATTGCTTCAACTCTATGTCCAGAGTGATTGGGTCTCAGAGAGAGTGCCTGGTCTGAGCTAGATGAAGCTCTAGAGACAGACTTTAAGTGAATTGGCCATGTGCTGTTGATTCCCATGGTTGAGGGAGGAAGAGCAAGGAGGAGGCTCATTGAGCTGCATTTTAGGATGTTAGTAAATCAGAGTGGATCAGGTCATGAATAAGAGATTCTGGGTTTTCCCGTACACAAATGATTTCCTGTTTTTGCTCAAGCTACATCTAAACTCTATGGTCTGAGAGCATCTGCCATGGCCAGACTTCCTCTTGGCCTCTTGGCTGCAGGATGAGTCCACTTCCTGACAGCTTCCCTAGCCTCCATGGCCCTGCATGCCTCCCTCTCAGCCTTGCTCACACTTTCACCACTGGGAATTCCCTGTCTGGCTTTTCTCCCTGTCCCTAGAAGTGGTCACCTTCTGTCCCAGTGGCCTGCACAGAGGTGCAGAATGGTGTCTCTCTATGTGCCCTTGACTTCCTAATCACCCTTTCTTGAATTGCTGCCTTGTGCCTCTGAGACTCTGGGTACATTCTCAGGCCATGGCTCATTCTCAGAGAGGATTGCCAGAAGGTACTCACGGCCCTGGGCAGTGTGTGGTATCCCTCCCTCCCTCCCTCCCTCTTTCCCTCTCTCCTTCCCTTCCTCTCTCACTCTTTCATCTATGTCTTGTTGTATATCCCAGGTTGGCTTAGAATTTACCGTGTCCCAGTCTGGCCCCAAACTCAGGATCCTCCTATCTCTGCTTCCCAAGTGCTAGAATTATAGGCATGCCCCACCAACACTAGTTTTTTTTTCTTTTTTCTTTTTCTTTCTTTCACAAACAGGATCTTACTGGGTTGTACAGGGTGGCTTCAAGTTGTTTTTTTTTGAGAAAGGACCTCAGTGTAGCCCTGGTTGTCTTGGAACTTGCTATGAAGACCAGGCTGGCCTTGAACTCAAAGAAATCCACTTTCCTCTGCCTCCCAAGTTCTGGGATTAAAGGCATCACACATTATTGCCAGGCTTTCTGTTGTCACATTTGAGATCGTCCTACCCCAGTTTCCAAAGGCATTTGAGACTTCAGGTGTGAAATCAGGGTTTCAGCACCTCTAAAAGCCATGGCTAAAATTTCTCTTTGCATCTTGTAGATTTTGAGGCACTGGTCTTAGACACTCCATTCCCAAGCATGCAGATCCCCTGTGCCAACCTTTGCTTTGTCTCACAGTTATCTTACTTGCTCTGTGACTGTCTCGTCTGGAGTGAGCCATCCTAACCGGGCATGTCAGTGGCCCTCTCCCAAATGTGATTCCCTTGCTTAGGGCTGTTGGGACAGCCTGCCATGCTTCAACACTCCTTCATTTGAGGCATCTGGGAGAACAGTGTATTGTCCAACAATGTGACTTGGGCCCTGAGGGAAAGTCACACAGAAGGGGCATCCATGTAGGCGTGTGACCCTGAGAAGCCAGAGGGGGGCTGTGCTAGGCTTTATGTATATATAAGGCATCCACTTAGATGGTGTCCCTTTTTTTAATTAAGCAGTCCTGGCTATGTGGTCTCAACTCCCTAGTGACAAAGGTTCCTCTCATATTCCCGTCTAGCCACACTCCAGCTTTAACTAACGAGCCATCTAATCCATGCAAAAGCAATAGAGGAGGGTGCATGAGATGTGGGAAGAGCTGATCAAGCCATAGTGAGGGTCCTGGGGGGACACTGAGAAAGGCAGAATTTGTTGTGCTTTCATACCATCGTTCCTTACTTTTATTTTCTTTCTTTTTTGGGGGGGTTGGGGGTGAGGTGGGACAGGGTCTCTTTATGTAACTCTGACTGCCCTGGAATGCACTCTGTAGACCAGGCTGGCCTGGAACTCAGAGATCCCTGCCTCTGCCTCCCAAGTGCTGGGTTTAAAAGGTGTGAGCTACACTGCTCGGACTCTTAACACATTTCTTAAATTTGCAAATTTTTTCTTAGCCGGGAATTGTAGTAGAATTTTGTTTGCAAGGCTTCCTGGGTGGTAAAGGATACTGCTGGAGATATGTTCCTAAGACGCCTTGCTGGGCTTAAGCCGCTGCTGGAAGGGAGGCTGGGCTAGTGCTGACTCATGGAGCTGCCCTGGGGGAGAGAGCCCAGCAAGTCCCTCCCCTGTGCCTCGTGGCAGGCTGGGCTCAGCAGGGGGATTTAGAGACCAGCTTGGGGGTGGGAGGGTCGGGTCTTAGAGCAGTTGACAAAAGCTTCTTCAGGCTAATTTAGAGTTGTCTGTGCTGCTAGAGGCCTTGACTGCTTGGAAGGGAGTTACTATGAGTGCAGTGCCAGCATCCCTCTAGCATCCTGTGGAGACACAAGGCCCCAGACCTTAAAGGCAGCAACAGCTGGACTATAGTGCATCATGCAGCACTCTCAGGTTTAGGAAGTGCCTGATTCTGTGTGTCTTTGATCCTGTTTTTGGCCCTTGCTAAAACACAGCTCTATCTATTTTAACTGTTTCTGTGATGTCACTATGGTCTTCCCCAGTATTACTTGGTCCTGTCTTCCCCAACTCCTCTTTCTTGTCGGAGAGTGTTTATTTTTATTAAACACAATGTGTGGTGGTCATTACCCTATTAGAAAGTAAGGATGCCAGCTGACATACCTCTGAAGTTACTCTAAAAAGTTAGCTAGTGCTGTCAGCAGTTTTGTTTGTTTTTTGATAAGGTCTCCTGTTTCCCAGGCTGGCCTTGAGCTCACTGTGTAGTGGAGGTTGACCTGGAACTTGGATCGTTCTGCCTCTACCTCTCAAGTGCTGGGATTATAGGGATACACAACCAAACCCAGTAGCATCTTTAAAAGAGTGGGGTTTTTTTTGTTTGTTTTTGTTTGTTTGCTTGTTTTTGGAGATAGGGTTTCTCTGTGTAGCCCTGACTATCCTGGAACTTGCTCTGTAGACTAAGCTGGTCTGTCTGCCTCTGCCTCCTGAGTGTTGAGATTAAAGGCATGTGCCACCACTATCTGTCTTTAAGAAAGATTTATTTGTTTATATATTTTATGTATATGGGTATTTTTGCCTTCATGTTCATCTGTACACTAGAAGAGGGTATCGGATCCCATGAGTGTGAGTCCTGGGAATTAAAGTTATGACCTCTGGAAGAGCAGCCAGGGCTCTTAACCACTGAGCTATCTCTCTAGCTTCCATGTCCAGTAGCATTTTTTTAAAAAAAGATTTTATTTATTTATTATGTATACAACATTCTGCTTCCATGGATATCTGCACACCAGAAGAGGGCACCAGATCTCATAATGTATGGTTGTGAGCCACCATGTGGTTGCTGGGAATTGAACTCAGGACCTCTGGAAGAGCAGTCAGTGCTCTTAACCTCTGAGCCATCTCCCCAGCCCCCTCCAGTAGAATTTTTAATCTTTACAGAAAATGCAAATATTACAGATATAGTGATGTAACCCAGTGTTAAGAGAACTTGCTTAGCATTCTCAGAGCACAGAATCAGTCCCCAGGATCTCTCTCTCTCTCTCTGTCTGTCTCTGTCTCTGTCTCTGTCTCTCTCTCTCTGTGTATGTGTGTGTACACATTAGTTCTTGGGGACAAACCTATTTTGAGTGGCCCCGACTGAGGTGAAGATGAACGTTCCTGCATAGGTATCTGGCCTTTGTTATCTTCCTGGGCTCACCCTGTCCCCTGTTGGTTTCACCTGTCACATTGAAGAAGCAGAATTAGATGGTTGCAGGCTGTGGAATGTGGCTGCTCTGCTGCACTTGATGTCCAGTGTGCTGAGGTGTTGTGGATCCTGTGTTGCTGTTCAGCCTCTGTGACACTTTGAAAACGTGTTTTATTCTAGTGTAGGAAAAACGAAGATGGAGACACTACTGTCGTCATTGTTGAAAAGGACCAATTCATGGATGATTTCTTCCATCAGGTATGTATTTAATGAAGTGCAGCTTCCAACTTTCTTAGATACCTTACTATAGCAGTGTTTGTTGTCACATGTAAAACAGCACACCCATGCACCCTGGAACTGTGTTTTCGCTAATGGTAGACATTATATTTGGCTGTGGTACCATGAGGTCATGCCACTGGTGCCATTGAAGCCTTCTGTACTCCATGTCATTCCCACAGGGAAATCACCCAGCCACATACGTGGTCCTCAGTGTGTCCTTATCATGACTAACATGTGACTCTACTTTTGCTTGTTTTGAATTTGGAGTTTTGAGTAATGTTTCTCTGTGTAGCCCAGGTTACCTTTGACCCTGTCAGCCTGCTGCTTCAGCCTCCTGAACATAGCTGTTTTTAAAGTTATTTGAAATATATAAGTTCTTTGGGGCTTTCAGAGTCATTGTAGTTAATATCAAGACAGATCCAAGTGACTGTTCATGCAGACAGTCTGGGAGGGCGGGCTGGATATATACAAAGGACGGAGGCACTGTGGGACTAGGACCTGTGCCCCTGGGAGGGTGGGTCAGGGCTCAGTACTTGCTGCTCTTTCTATGACTTGGAGCTGCAATGTCCTAAGGAATACTTCCTCCCATGGGAAGCCAACCACACCTCTGGAGTGGCTTTTTAAAGGGTCTCACCACAAGACCTGTGGCCTCTCAGGAATCCAGGTCCCTTGGAAGCAGGAATCCTGGCTTTAAGCTCAGTGTCTGGGGCCACTTTTGCTGTCTGTTGGTATCGGCCTTGTGTTCCTAAACCATTGACTTCGAATATATTCATATGGATTCTCCAAGAAGCACAAGCTGTATTTGTTAAAGACTTTATTTTGTAGTTGTTCCTGTGAAGTGACACCTTAGACATAGAAACACCCAGGGTTTGTTAATGTAAGGCCTCTGGTAGAAAAGCCCTCTAGACTGTACTCATCACACAGAACGATGTAGATGACAGAATTTGCTCCTGACCTGGGAGGGTTTGGTTAAAGACCAATAAAACAAGATACTGAGAAGATAGTTATAAGGGATGGAAGAGACCCTGTGTGGGGCAGCTGGCAGTCTCAGGCTGGACCAGCATCACTACCAGCATGCCCCTCCTGTGGAACCTCCTCTCAGGGCACTGGGGCCCACGACTGCCTTTTTCTGGATGAACCAATCTGGTGTCAGCTGCTTCGAAGTCAGGGGAGGGTAGAATGAGTCTCTAAGCTAGGCTGCCCCCTTTACTTTCTGACACATGGGCCATCAATGTTGCTTTGAAAGTGGCATTTTCAAATGCAAATTGAAATATCATCTCTAAACTGGAACCGGCACTAGTCCTTGGTTTCAGACTCCTTAGCAACACAGCCAAGATAGTAAAGTGATCCATTTTTATTAAATAAAAATTATGTTTATGGGTGGTTTGCCTGTATATGTCTGTGCATCACATGTATGCAGTGCCCACAGAGGTCAGAAGGAGGTGCTGGGTCTTCTAGAATTACAGTTGCCAATGGTTGTGAGTTGCTATGTGAGTGCTAGGAATTGAACCCATGTCCTCTGGAGCAGCAGCCAGTGTTCTAACTGCCCAGCCATCTCTCCAGCCCCAAGAACTAGCTTTTATTGTGGTGTTTCCATGGTTACTATAACTGCACTCCCTAGTATGTGTGGTCTGTGCTACTCTAGTAGCAGTGGCAAGTGAAATGGTCTTGGGCCACCCCAGCCTCATGAAACCACTGCTCTGCACTGCAACAGGTACGTATTAGATTCCTCTTTAATACCTTGATTTTCAGAATGTCTCTGGGACTTGGGCCATGATTTCCTGAGTCCCCCCACCACTCTTTAGCAGGGTCACAGTGACACTGAGGTGTGTGCCTCTTCACTCCTGCATCCCAGGAAGGTTCAGGGACAGAGTTGTTCAGCAGTAACTTGGGACACAGGACCTCCATAAACTAGAAAGCTGATCTATAATGGGCCTTGTTGTATATAGTTTCACTGATCTTTTCTGTTGCTGCAATTAATCACCATGACCAAGATAAGTGATAGAGGAGAGAGTTTATTTGGGCTTATGGTTCCTCAGCGATAAGAGTCCATTATGGCAGAGAGGTGTGGCAGGAAGTTGCAGGCATGGCTGTTGGAGCAGCAGGCTGAGAGCTCACATCTTAAACTATAAGCACAAAACACAGAGAGCTGGCTACTGCGAGTGGTATGAGGCTGTGAAACCTAAAGCCCCCCCCCCCATACTGCCTCAATCAAGACCACACCTCTGAAGCCTACCCAAACATGCTACCAGCTGGATACCAAGTATTCAAATACAGGAGCCCATGGAGGACATTCCCATCTAAACCACCGCAAGAAGGAAAGTATTTTTTCATAAAAATGTGCAAATGTGTGTTTCCTGTTTTGCTGTGACAGGTGGCAGGAAGTAAGCAGCACACACTGTCTCCTAGCTCCAGAGCTATCTGTCTTCAGGGAGTGTTATAGGCTGAGGTCAAGCTGAGATTTAAACTGCAGAGGAATGAAGGAGCACACTTGGCTCTGGAGACTACTTTCTCGGTTTGCAGCCCCTCCCTTCTGAAGGCACAGTGAGCCTCTCTCACCATCAGGTCACCTCTTCCCTTCCTGACAGTGTTTCTTTAGTCTCAGTTGTGTAGGAACCAGCTAGATCACCCAGGGTCTGAGTTAGGGTTTCATTGCTGTGAAGAGGCACCATGACCACAGCAACTCTTACAAAGGAAAACATTTAACTGGGGCTGGCTCAGAGGTTCAGAGGGTTAGTGCATTGTCATCATGGCAGGAAGCATGGCGGCATGCAGGCACGCATGGTGCTGGAGAGGTAGCTGAGAGTGCTACATCTGGGGAATGGCAGGCAACAGGAAGACAGAGTGAGCTACCAGGCCTAACTTGAGTTTCTGAAACCTCAAAGCCCACCCCTAGTTAAGTACTTTCAAACAATGACACTCCCTGTGAGCCTTTGGGGACCATTTTCATTCAAACCATCACTCCCAGGATAACTTTCCAGCTCAGATCTTAACACCTGTGAAGTCCTTTTTCCAACATGGAAGGCCATGTCAGGGTGTGGTCATGGATCTCCGCATACAATGGCTATAATTATGTAATTATTTTAAAGCGAAGCAAGGAGGAGGAACTGGCAGTGCTCCTCCTGCCTCAGCTGTCATGTGGCTTCCTCTGTAGCCAGGTTCTATATGGGTCCAACCTGGATATCCCCACCAACCTCCTCATCTCAGATTTCTAGTTGAATCTATATAGGCTCCTTTGCTATCTAATGTAACAACCATAGGGGCCAGGACACCTTCAGGGCCCCATTGTTGAGTGACTCTTGTAGTGAGTTGCTTATACCATGTACACATTTAAGAGGCTGAAGGGTTGGTCATGAAGGGCAGGCCACCTGGATGGTGAGGGCTTCCTCATGGGAGGGTATTCCCTTGCTGTTTCCCATGGGGTGGGGTGCTTACTGCTCTGCTTTATGGAGTCATCTGCCTCTACTCAGTGGGTGGTACGTGGATTTTTACAGCGTATAGTTTTGCTGGCAAATGTTGCTTGAATCCTAACAATAGTAATGTAGTGGATTTCTGTTCTTACTACATTTTAAGTGTGTGTGTGTGTGTGTGTGTGTGTGTGTGTGTGTGTGTGTGTATACTCATTTGCATACTATACCAGGCAAGTGTAAGTCAGGGTAACTTTTGGGAGTTGGCTCTCCCTTTCCACCATGGGTCTCAGGGATCAAGCTCAGTTTGTCAGGTTTGGTGGCGAGCACCTTCACCCACTTAGAATTTTTTTTTTTCAAGACAGGGTTTCTCTGTTTAGCTTTTGAGGCTGTCCTGGAACTCTCTCTGTAGACCAGGCTGGCCTCAAACTCTCAGAGCTCCATCTGCCTCTGCCTCCTGAGTGCTGGAATTAAAGGCGTGTACCACCACAGTCCAGCCTTTTTTTTTTTTTTTTTTTTTTTAACTTTTATTATGTATACAGTCTTCTGCCTGCATGCCAGCAGAGGGCACCAGATCTCAATCAAGGTGGTTGTGAGCCGCCATGTGGTTGTTAGGAATTGAACTCAGGACCTCTGGAAGAACAGTCAGTGCTCTTAACCACTGAGCTATCTCTCCAGCCCAAGCTTTTTTTAAAATTGATAATCATGGTGACAGCAGAAGTGATGCTTGTTCTTTACATGGGATTACAAGCGTTCCTCTCCAGCCTCCCTCTTGGGAGATGGACAGCATTGGCGGCTTTGACCTTACCACAGTGTCTCTCCTAGGTGGAGGAGATTCGAAGCAGCATAGCCAGGATTGCCCAGCACGTGGAAGATGTGAAGAAGAACCACAGCATCATCCTTTCTGCCCCAAACCCAGAAGGAAGTAAGTCTGTCTAACTGCCTGTCTGTTCTCCAGCTTCCCCTTAGATGGAGCAGCATGTGCATGCATATGAGTACACCCAGGCCCCCTTGGCATTCCAGGGCATCTTTATGGTGTTTAAAAGCTCCCAAATAGTCCCATTGTCCAACCAGGGAGGACAAGTGCTAGGCAGGATCCAAGGGATATGTGAGTGTGCCCGGTGGGACTCTAGCCATGATGGTGGCTCAGCCAGAGATCTGCACTGTGCCCACCGTTGAGGGATGGTAGATCTTTTCTTTGGGGATGTTAACAACAGGCAGGCTGATTTGGTAAGCAGTGGCTGCTTGCCAGAGCTGGGTTAGTGATGAAGACTGAGAGGAGACTCTGAGTCTGGAGGTCAGCTGTGTGGCGTGTGGGCTCACAGAGTATGTGTGGTGGGGTGGGGTGGGGCCTGGGCTCAGACTGCATTTCCATCACCCCCTCTGCCTTAGGATGTCTGTGTAATCTTTCTAAATTGAAGCTCTACTTGACATCAAATACCTTTGTTTAGAAACTTTCAGTGTTGGTTACCACCTATAGAAAAAACCAGAAAATGAGGCGTGGCCTATGAGCCTTCCCAAGTGCCTGGTCTCTTCTACACACTGTTACTTTAGACCAGCTTACTCACCTTTGGCCACTCCACTGCCCCAAAGGAGCCAATCTGCTTGTTTTCAGATAGCATATTCTGCTTCCTCCTCGGGGAGCCTCAGAGTGTCCCTGGTTTCTGGTCACACTGGGGATTTGTAGGGCCTTCCTTGAATCTTCCAGGCCCCAGTGTGCAGCTCGTTGGGTATTTTTGTGACTTCACCTCAGATTTCAAGAAAGATTCTGGGTGGGGGTCCCCCAGAGCCCTCTTAGATGCTGTAGGTGTTCAGGCATTGCTATGGGACTGCCATTGTCAGGTAGCTATCTGCTACAGGTGATCTTTTGCCCTGAGAATAGCTGGGGCACCAGAGTTAGCTCTGAAGGTCTAGAGCCAGGCCTGCTGGAGAGTGGCATGTGTGGTGTGTCCGATGGAGCAACGAGGACTGGGAAGATGGTGACAACAGAAGGGACCTCTGGTGTGGTTGTGTGCACTCCCTGTCCTGGTGAAGGTTAGCAGGGTGAGCCTGCAGTTCTGACTCCTCACCAGCTGCATCTGATGGCACAGTTCAGGGTGTACCAGGAGCTGGTCTGGGCATGTAAGTGGTGGCTGGGGGCAGCACACTTGGGAAGGCACTGGGGAAAGAAGGCCCCGTGCGTCTGTGCTTGGCCTGCATGTGTGGTTGTGCAGGGGTCAAGTATCCCAGCTCAGGTGTTTTATTTGAACTTTTTACAGAAATAAAAGAAGATCTGGAAGACCTGAACAAAGAGATCAAGAAAACTGCTAACCGTATCCGAGGCAAGCTGAAGTGTAAGTCTGCCTTCTTGGGTACTGGTGGGTGTGGACCTTGGTACCTTTCCTTGGACTTCTATTACTCTTAAATTTCCTAAAATGAAAGTTGAGACTACTTCCAAGTAGGTTGGATATGTGTATCTGGGCTGCTGGTTCCCATGCTGTATCTCATTGTGGCTCTGTTGGTGACACTGAGAAAGGGGAAATAGCCTTTACAGTGAGTCCCAAAGCTCTCAAATGGGTCTCTTAGCTAGAATATGCTTTCCAGCTGCCAGGAGTCCAGCTGATATCATGGTACTCTGTGTTCAGCCTGACAGCTGGCATGGGTGAGGGTTGTGGCTTTCGGCACAGAGCTTAGATAGAACTTGCTTTCGTTGATCTATGAGGAAAACATGTGTTTAACTCACAGAGACACATCAAAAGATGCAAACCTCATCTCTGCATGCCATACCCTCTTCTCAGGTGCAGCAACTCCATGGTGGCAGACATGTTGTCCAGATCCTAGTGTATTCCCCATTGGTCTCAAGGCAGACCCTGAGAGTGTGCACCTTAAAAACAATGTTGTTCCCAAGAGTACAACCACTTTAAATCTAACTCAAATTCATTACAGTGACTGGATGTTTAAAGACACTTGGCACACCCCAAGTATACACACCAAGTGCTTACAAACACAAGTGCACACACATGCAAACAGAACCAGAGCAACACAGAGACAAACATGTGAGTACACAAACACATACACAGAAACACAAACATACAAATGCATAAATACAAATACAAGGCCCATGCACAATCACATACCTGTATGCGTATTTGTGCATGTTTTTGTTTTTGTTTGTGTGTTTTTCTATACCCATGTGTGTTACTCTTTCCTGACAGCTGCCTGGTCGAGTAGCCGCTTCAGCCCCCAAATAGCACAAGAAACACTATATTAATTATGAAACTGTTGGCCAATGTCTAGGGCTTTTTATTGGTTAGCTCTGACTTAATTTCTAACCCATAACTACTCATGTATGTATTTCCACTTGGTCTTATCTTACCGGAGAAAGGTTTGGAGACATGTTACTTCTCTCACATCCTACATCGTGACTCAGTGTGCCTACACCTCCCAGAATCCTCCTCATCTCCTAGTCCCACCTATCTTGCTTCTTCCCTATTGGCCAACAGTGTTTTATTCATTAACCCATAAGAGAAACATATGTACAGAAGACTTTCCCCATCATATTGTGTTTATGGCTTTGGTATGTATGCGAACATTTATGTATGCAACTGTGTGCATGCTTGTGTGCTGGAATTTGTATATATGCTTACATGTGTGTTAATGTGTGTAGACAACAAGTGTCTGCATGTCTGTCTATATGTCTGTCATTGAATACATTTGTGTGTGCAGTCTTAAAACATTTCTTTTGGTGACTAGTCTTTAGAATAGTGGTTCTCAACCTGTAGGTCTTGACCCCTTTGGGGATTGTCTGACCCTTTCACAGGGGTCACATATCAGATATCCTGCATATCATATATTTACATTACAATTCCTAACAGTAGCAAACTTGCAGTTATGAAGTAGCAAGGAAAATAATGTTATGGTGGGGGTCACAACAGCATGAGGAACTGTATTAAAGGGTAGCAGCACATTAGGAAGGTTGAGAACCACTGCTCTAGAGGATTATTTTAAGAGGCCACCTGTTCTTTAGTTTTACGGGGAAACCTGAGGCCATCCTGAGACTGACTGCTGCCATAGCTGGGTAACACTGCCCTGCTTCCTTCTAGCTATTGAGCAAAGTTGTGATCAGGACGAGAGTGGGAACCGCACTTCAGTGGACCTGCGGATACGGAGGACCCAGGTCAGTCTTCCAGCCTCAGATGGACGGAAGTGATGGAAAGGACAGCGTTTCACATGTCCAGTTCAAGGCAGCTTCACTCTGTCATTGTGCTGGTGCCCTGCATGTGCTCAGCAGGAACTCTGTTGCCAAGCCACACCTGAGCCCACTTGTCTTCACATGGGCTGCATCTCTTTACTGTGAGCAAATGCCCCAGAAACCCACATGGTCTGTGCCACAGAGCAGGGAACCAGCCGAATCATCTGGATGTTGGTGGTTTGGTTTAACTGTTTGGGGTTTATGGTTGAAACCTGGGAAGTTCAATCCTGTGTGACCGAGCCTGCCAGCTGGATTCAGCCTCCCATAATGCCCACTCCAGAGATCAGCTGACTGCCATAGGTCACAGCTTATTTGTTATTGTTGTTGGTAGTGTTTTTTTTTGTTGTTGTTTGTTTTGTTTTGTTTTGTTTTTTTGAGACAGAGTCTCACTATGTAATCCTAGTTGGCATGGAGCTCACTCTGTAGACCAGGCTGACCTTAAACTCACAGAGATCTGCTTACCTCTACCTTCAGAGTGCTGGGATTATAGCTGTGTGACACCACGGCCCAGTGACCCCAGTGCATGCAGCTTCCATTGCTGCTCTTGCTCTTCTTTTCTGCTGGAATTGAGTAACAGTCTGAGCTTCCCAGTCCTAAGTTTTACCTCTTTCAAAGGAAGGCATGGCTCTCATAACAGTAATGGTGTGTTTTCCATGTTCTAGCATTCGGTGCTCTCCCGGAAGTTTGTGGAAGTCATGACAGAATACAATGAAGCACAGATTCTGTTTCGGGAGCGAAGCAAAGGCCGCATCCAGCGCCAGCTAGAGATCAGTGAGTAGGGAGAGCGTGAGAAACACACTTTCAAGGATCCTTCACACTTCTTAACTGCATCATAGACCAGAAAGCCCTTTCCTAATACCTGGGTCTAGAGTCCGCCAGATGTGTTCAAAGTTGGGAGTTGGGGGCTGGTGCTGAGTCCATTGTAACTGCTGGTGCTTTTATGTCAGTCACATTTGGAAAGCTTGAGGTCCAGATTTCTTAATTTCTGTGTCCTGCAGCCCCTCCTATCTGGCTGGGAGATGACCTCCCAAGTGTTTGCTCATCCAGTTGTCACATGCCATCTTCAGCTTAGCTGCCACAGGCTTGGAAGCCTGTGGCAAACCTGTAGGAGAGCACAGGTGCTCCCTTGTAACAAGCAGCAGGGTGGGTTTGTAACAAATTGAAGTCACATTTCTGGAAATGTGACCACATTTCAGGAAAGGACCTTAGAAAGGGCAGGCAAATACTGTTGGCGATGTTAATGGCTCAGGTAGACCTTAGTGGTCCCCATTAGCTGACCATTCCTGGCTGTTGAGCCATGCTGCATCCTCAGTGCAGTTCCTATTGTCCCTCAGCTGGGAGGACTACCACTGATGATGAGCTGGAGGAGATGCTGGAGAGCGGGAAGCCGTCCATCTTCATCTCGGATGTGAGTGCCACAGCCTTAATCTAGATGGGCATTTTTGCCTTAATTTACCAGCCAGTCTGGAGTTAGTAATACTTTTCCTTTTACCTTCCAAAGATTATATCAGATTCACAAATTACTAGGCAAGCTCTCAACGAGATCGAGTCACGTCACAAAGACATCATGAAGCTGGAGACCAGCATCCGAGAACTGCACGAGATGTTTATGGATATGGCCATGTTCGTGGAGACCCAGGTAACGAGGCGCTTTCCAGGTGGAGGCTGGTTATGGAGAGGTTGCCTGCTTTGGTCAAAAAAAAGCCATGACTAGGTATCCAGTCTCAAAATTCAGGAGTTGTTTGAAGTGTTAATGTTGAACTGAAACCTGAGTGTACACTTCCTCAGTAGGACACTGCTTAGTTACAGGAGCCATGGCATGCGCACAGGCCAGCTACTTAGGTAGACAGCCATAAGCAACACCAGGTGCTTGTTCAAATGTCTGTGGTGGGCTTTAGGTTAAAAGTAAAGGATATACAGAAATCTTACTATAGCCATGGATATGTGTAAGTGTAAATATATGCGAACACACATCACATGACCTCAACTACATATAACAGTGCTCCCAGAGGAAGGAGGTGACCAAGCCAATCATCGTGAAAAACGGCAGGCCTGTGGGGGTGTTGGCCTTCTCTCTTGGGGGTGTTGCCCAAAAGAATGACTGAGCAAGGATCAGGACAGTGCCTAAAGACCAACCTCGAGGACAAAAACAGTGAGACTGACTGTCGCCCACACTCACTCTGCAGCTCAGGAAGGGAGGACCAGAGAGTGCCTGCAGGCATAACAACATCACATTGTGTGTGCTCGTGTGATGTGTCCATACTGACTCAGTTGCAGTGGGAACCTGCAGAGACTGTACTGGTCTTCCAGGATTTTCAGACCCCCAGGAAAGTCTAGGGCAGGCTTACAGTGCAGCTGGCCTCTAGTGAGACAAACTTTTTCATTAATTAATTGTTGTTTTGTTCTTTTTGAGACAGGGTTTCTCTGTGTAACAGCCTTAGCTGTCCTGGAACTAAATCTGTTGACTAGGCTGGCTTTAAACTCACTGAGATCCTCCTGCCTCTGCCTCCTGATTGCTGGGATTGAAGGCATGGGCCACCACCGCCCGGCTCGTCCTCTTTCAGAGGCAGCTGTCAGGGTGCCTTTGCTGATAGCTAGTGATGTTTTGTAATTGCCTGGATATGTAAAGGGTTTAGGATATTCATCTCCACATGCCCTGAATGATGTTTATTTTGATAAACCTTATCATAAAAGCATGTGAAAAGCACACCTTTAATCCCAGCAATCAGGAGTTAGAGACAGGTGGATCTCTGTGAGTTCTCAGCCAGCCTAGTCTACATAGTGAGTTCCAGGACATCCTTGGCTACACAGAGAAACTCTTGTCTTGAAAAACAAACAAAACAAAACAAAACAAAACAAAAAACCATGAAAAATCTCAAGTACCATACACCTATGGAGAACAGTTATTTAGAGGCAAGGATAGGCACTGGTGGGTTGGAATGGGTATCTGTGGGTAGGGATGGGCATTGATGGTCAGGGATGGACCAGTTGCCACTTGGTCTGAGAACTGGGGGGTGGGGTATCTGGTGACTTTCCAGGTTTGGAGGGAAGTAGTTGTGTGATAAGAATGGTAGATTGATTTAGAAATCACAGAGCTTTGTAATGGCTCAAGCTTTAGTTATAGTCACTCCATTCCTAGTATGTGGTGTGAAGCATCATTAGGACAAGCCACCATTTGTGGCTTCACTTCCCTGTTACCTTTTAGAAGTCTGTCATTGTGTTAGGTTGATAATCCAGAAACAGTGAGGACTTATTAGGGCATTTTCTTGTGAGTGAATGATAGTTACCTGTCCATCCTTCTCCAATGCTTTGCTATTGGCTGCTACAGACTCTGTCTCCTCCCGGACAGGACCCAGGTAATGCACCCCACCCTACCCTGCCCACCAACATGCTGTGGCGTCTCTTCCATTTTCATATTTGATCATCAGTTCATTGTCACCCAGAGGCTGTACTTAATTTGCCTGTTAGAAAAGACATGCTCATTTGCGTGTGGAATGTTTTATGCAGCAGTAAAACATGAGACTAACCTGAGCTTGCAGCCCTTCCTTCACTGTGACTCTGTGAAGATATGTCAGGTCATAACTCATCTGTGGATAGTCTTCCCCTGTCTCTGTTGCTGCCACCCCTTTCAGCTGCTTCTGACACAAGAATTGGATTGGATTGTGTTCGCTGGCGCATCTGCACCAGCCTTGTCCTCCTTTGTAACCGTGAGGGATCCTGTCTCCATCCCTGTCGTGCTGGGCTTACATGAGGAGACATGGCAGATGTTTGCTGAGTTTGAAACTTGTTTTCAGGGTGAAATGGTCAACAACATCGAGAGAAATGTGATGAATGCTGCAGACTATGTTGAACATGCCAAGGAGGAAACCAAGAAAGCCATCAAATATCAGAGTAAAGCCAGGCGGGTGAGTCGTGCTACCGAGGACTGAGCCCTAGAGTGGTTTCTCTTCTCTTGGTCTCTAGCTGTGGAGGTGCCGAAATGCCTTAGATTTGTGTTTTATTTTAAAACCAAAATAATTCTTTTCACTACAATTTCCTCAGTTGATTGGCTTATTTGTATACCAGCCATTTAGTGTTGTAAGTAATTAAACCCTTTAGGACCTCAAGTGAGGACAAGCCTGCCTCTTTTGAGCTCTGTTCCCTTTGACCATCATCTGGAGGGAGGAACAAGGTGATGGGTTTTGGGTTTCCCCTAAAAATCATTGGAGACACATTGTATGTGAGAGCTGTTAGCTCTGTTAGGTAACAGGCTGAGGCTGTGGGTGGGTCTCATGTCTTTCGTAGGGGGCCTGGGAGGCAGTCTCAAAGGCAGATGTCCCTTTGCTTAGGCTTCTAACTTGTGTCCAGACTGTCCCAAAGGAATTGTGCAGCAGTGGATGTTACTGGTGTAGAATTCTGGATGTACTCTGCTAGCTTGAGTGTCTCCCATAACATTTCTGAAGATTGAGTAGGGTTGGGTTCCATGTTGCTGCCTGCAGAGGATCCAAGGATGATGTCTGCTTAGCAACAAATTGTACCACCTCTGTCTCCATCTTCAGAGTACCACATGTACATGCAGGCTCTTCTAGGACAGCTGAGGGCCTGCCAAGGGCATCACTGCCTGCTACAGGTGGGAGGCAGTAGCGGGCTGGTTCCTCTGTCAGCTCTGACTTTTGGGACTCCTGGGAAAGTGTTCTGTGTTTCAGTTCATCTGAAACTGGTAAGAGACTGTCATGTGTCCAGGAGAAAGCTGGTGTCACGGGTCACAGAGCACACTGATTCTAAGAGGCCTGACCTCGTAGGTCAAGCCACTCTGGGAAGTAAAGACTGCCGTAGGCCTCAGGGGAGGGCCTGTAAGTTAGAGTTCAAAATGAGTTCTGGCAATTGCTTCACTCCCAGTGAAAGATGCCCTTGACCGTGGCAGCATGCAATCAGCGTGGTGTAATCAGCCTGCTTTTCTTTGACAGAAAAAGTGGATAATTGCTGCTGTGGTGGTGACTGTCATTGCTGTCCTGGCTCTAATCATTGGCTTGTCGGTTGGCAAATGATTGCGTAGATGGCGCTGGGTGCTTGCCTCTCCCTCAGGGTGGCAGTAAGTGACTAATCAACTAATTTACTTATTAACCTTTTCAATCAGCCTGTAGTGTGTTTGCCCAGTGTTAATATACTTAAAAGTCACAGGGGCTTGTCCACTGAGTGCTTGGTTCAGGCCTTAGTGGCCTCTCTTTACTGAGGTGACACAGACTGGGAAGCCACTCAACTCTGCACAAGGTGGCCACTGCCCCACAGAGCCTATCCCAGTGAAAACTAATGCAAGCGCTACAGTTTAGTTCTTCTATTGTAACTTTCGGAATAATGGTAACTGAAAATGACTGTAAAATACTCGTAACTGCTCAGTTCACCGTGGAACTGAGGGAATGTAGTGTAAGCTGTGGACAACAGCAACAGACCAAACTCTTCTCAGGTCCCTGCTTGGCAGCCGACCCCTACACTAAAATGAAAACCCTGATACTTAATTACCTGCCTGCTAATCCCAGCAGGACCACAAGTGTCACATGGTCAGCATGGAAAGTCATTTTGTCACATTCATGGGCCTTATTCCCAGCGTTCTGGGGATTCCCTGCTGCACTGAGTCACCTATGTAAACACTGACCATGCGACCCTGTGGCACTTCTCAATGCTTTTTCACTGTGACGGAAAGGAGGCTCTCCCAAGTTGAGTTCCTCATTGCCTCCCCTTCCATGAGGCTTTTCTCATGATTTGAGCATCTATCAGGTATGGCTGCTATCAGCTCTTGTGGTCAGTGCAGGCCGTTGGGGTTGCACAGAGAGCATCCATCCTGGGACAAGAAGCCCCTGTCTGTTGGAAAGGTCTTTCCTGATGCCATCCTCCTAGTCTATTGAAAAAGATGACACTGATTTTTCTCTGCTAAAAATAATAGTATTTTTCAGGATTTTCACAAGTCTCTGTAGAACCATGCAATCAATGAGGTCAATTGAATATGGTTCCAAAGGTCTAATTGTAGCTCTCAGCATGGTCAGGGAAGTGCTTGCTTTCTATGGGTTCCCAAGGGCTCTTCTTGCTAAGACCCAGAAATCAGGTGTGATCCTCCGCCTGGGCCAGCTGGACATTTGCTGCAGATAAAACATACACATGCACACTCATTCATTCATTGAACTAGACCAGACAGCTGGGCCCTGTCTAGAAAGGTGGTTTCCTGTTCCCTCCACTCTCACCTGGAGCATGTTTCCTAATGATGGACAATTTTAGATTGCCAAGTTCCATCAGGGCAACCTGTGGATGGTGCTTGCCTTCTCTCTGCATTGCAGAATCCTGTCTCTTTTCTTTGCAGAAGGTGATGTTCGTCCTCATTTGTGTAGCCACTTTGCTTGTGATCCTTGGAATTATCCTAGCAACAGCATTGTCATAGCAACCACACCTCAAGAGCTCTTTGTCCTCAGAGAATCCGACCACACCTGCAACAGAGTCAGTGTCCTGTCCTTCCACTTGTAATCTCAGACCCCGGGGCTAGTGCCGAGTGCCAAGTGCCGAGTGCCGAGGTTTGTATTGGTGATGAAGAATAAAGCGCCACAGAGGTTTCATACCGTGAAGACACCAGGAGCCGAGTGGATGCAGCATGCCAGCCCAGATGACCTTGGTCTCTGAAGGATGCCAGAGATTTCACAATGGTGGCCTTGTCTCAGTAGCCTTGACATAGAAATGATTGAAAAATCCAACCTTTTTTTTTTTTTTTAAAAAAAAAAAAAAAGATGTCAGTGTTAAAAATGTGTGTGCAGTTTAATTAGGTGTGCTCTGTGCTCTCTCGGCTGACAGTGATAATGAAGAGACTTTGCACCGGGCCTGATTTCTGTCCATGTCTTGCTTGCAGAATCACCACAGAACTGTTTTGTAAGGTATCTGTAATTTTAAATAGCTATAAATTAAATTCCTTAATATATTAACACCGAACCCCCCTTTTCTAAGCTAGACACTGCCTTGAGAAGGACAATGGACAGGCCCTAGGCAGCCATGTACAGGTTGCTGTTGTCACTGAAAACCTGGTCTCGAAGCCCTCAGGGCCTTTCTTGAGGGCTTTCTGGTGACCCTGCCCTAGGAAGTGTAAGGGTCTGAAGAAGTCTGGATTGTCACTAGCTCACTTCTACCTGCTTCATTATGGAGGTGACACACAGTCGTGTGCCACACTTACGTCGACCTCTTCTCCATTCACTGGTGCTGCTGGAGTCTTAAGGAAAGACAATGATGGAACCAAGACTGTGCTCACTGAACTCATATGAACGACTAGTTCAGTCACGAAGCCATGTTGGACAGCATCTGAAGGACCAGAGTCTCAGCTGAACCCCCACTAATGCCCAGGGTTCCTGAGAAACTGTGATAGGTGGTATGAAGATGTGGGCTGTTTTACACTGGTGAGTAGGTGGCCCAGTGATGGCCTATCTGTATGCTGACATGCTGACTGAGTATGTGCAGGACACCAAGCCTAGTGGACTCCACTGACTGCTGACTGTGTCTGTGGGTGCTCACTCTGTCACAACCTCATTTGGTTGGATTTGATGTAGCTGTGCTGATTCAGAACACCAAGTGTGAGAGATCCTGAACTATTTAGAAACCACCAACCCCTACAGTGGTGAGTATCACTCATTCACCTCCTCACACCTCCCAGCCTGACACCCCATGTGCTGAGAGCTACTGCAGGAGGCTGGGCTGTGTGTCCTGGTCTAGAGCTAGCCTGTAGTGGGGACACTCCTGCCTAGAAACTCCTACATCCTGCCTGGAAGCTCCCACTTCCTGCCTGAAAGCTTCCAGAAAGCTCTGAAGATGGAGCTGTGTTTGTGCAGCTCCCACCCTCTGCGTCAGTGCCACCAAATTTAGCTGCAGAGGACCTGCATGTCACTGAGGTTCCTGAACTCATGGCCAGGTTTCCTTCAAGTTCAGCCTGAGTCCTTGGCCTGTGATATGCTCCTCACTTTGTGCTCAGGTGGCCTCTTCACCAAGCGGGTGCCTGAATGTGGCTTTCTGGTGAAGCAGGGGTGTGTGGGTGAGTCAGCCCTCAGGATATATTTCTATGCTGACGTCATAGCCTCTTTCAAAATTTACAGATTGTGTTGTTACTTTTCCCAACGATTTCTTCAGAAATTTTGTGTTTACATTAAAAAGTTCTCCAAGAAGCAAATATTTTCTGCCTCATCATTACAGAAGGAGATCTCCACTACATAAGGCCCCATTGTGTGATACTTTCTGAGGAGACATGAACAGATGTCTACTTACTCCAAATGAACCAACCACAGACCAAAGTCTAAACACACCTTCCATGTAGCTGTGTGTTCCAGGCAGGACATGGCAGTTATCTGGAGCAGAGCAGTTGAGATGATCATAGGGGACCTCTTCTGGTCAGGCTTGTTACCTTGGAGGGCCAGACACTGGCTGACCGGAGTTTGGGGCTCTGTGGTAGTGTAGCTGCCCATAAGCTACCCAGGGACTGTCCCATGGTGCAGCTTTTCCTGAGTCTTCATGCAACAGGCTGCCCAAGAGTGACACACAGGCTTGTAAGAGACCACAGTAAATTCACTAGTTCACCAAGCTGGACTTGGATGGAATCCCTTCTTGGGTCTCTTGATGTCCCCTCTACAGGGCACACTGTTATGCCTTCCCAGGATTCACCCTGACTGGAGGGAGTGTGGGGACATGGGAGAGGGGCAGGAACCCTTAGTCCACTCTCTGGAGAAGACCCACCTGGGACTAGGGCCCAGATATGGACACAGTAAAGCCCAGGGCCCCTACGTGTGTTGGGGGTCTGTGCAGTACTAGTAGCTGGAGTTTAGTTAGGCTACAGTGACCTTACCCTCTTACCTTGTCTTTCTGATGTTTATAAAAACAGTCCAACAGGGCTTATTGTTACCTGGAGCTCCATAGCTTGTTGGCCCCAGGTCCTCTGCAGGGGCGTGGCCTCTCAGTCTAGGTGCAGAAAGAAGGGAGCAGCCCCATCTCATTGCTCCATTTCATAGACCAGAGTTTTCCATCCCTTTCCACCTGAACAGGTGTTGTAGTCTTAGCCTCAACAAGGCTTTAGTGTGCTTCAGTGTGCAGCTTAACACACACACACACACACACACACACACACCCTACCCTTCCACAAAGAAGGATGCATCTCCCTTCTTTCCAGGACACAAGCAGCTCTCACTCTATAAATGCCTGTACATACCATCTGCAAGCCCAGCAACACCCTGCCTGGGAGGAGCAGAAAAGCACCCAGGTAAGGTCTGGGACCGTGGGGTCTGTGGTTCAGAGAAGCAGAGCAGGAAGCCATATATCTCAGGGGTTGGTATGCTGGGTTTGGACTATTCAGGGAAAATCTCGTGAAAAACATGTGTAAAGAAAGGAAATGGGTGAGAGCATGGTGCTACAGGCTAAGTCACCGTGTGGAAAGGTTCTGGGTGGGTGGGGTCATTACCTAATGGGCTAAATCAGGAAGACTGTGTGAGTGCTGGGCAGCAGAGGTCAGGAGAGAGACACAGTGAATGTGTGTGGTGGAGGGTGAGGAGTCAGGCCCTACAGGGCCTGGGAGCCATGGACTCACCTGACAGTTGGTTCACTTACAAGATGTTGTCCTGACTTCTATGTTGGGCTGTGCCATACATAGGTGAGAAAAGTAGAGAGGTTACCGAGTGTGCCGGTGACAGGCCTGAGGACAGTTGTGGACAGGACAACGGCAACCAGACACTTAGTCTCACTCTGCTTCCTGCCCCACTTTGCTTCCTGATCTTGCCTTACTTCTTGGCCTGCTTTGCTTCCTGTTCCTGCCTCACTTCCTGGCCTGCTTTGCTTTCCCTCTTGCCTTGTGTCCTGTCCCATTTCCCATTCCTGTAGGTGGAAGTTTCTCTCCTGCCCCGTCCTGCAGCTCTTTAGTCCCAAATAAACACACAGAGGCTTATATTAATTGTAAACGCTTTGGCTGATGGCTTAGGCTTCTTATTGTTTAACTCTCTTTTAATTATTAACCCATTTCTATTAATCTTAATCTATGTATCTCCACATGGTCTTGGCTTACTGGAGAATGCTCGGACCTCTTCTTTCTGGGCAGCTACATGGTGTCTTCCTGGTGACTCACTCTCTGAGTTCCTCTTCCCACAATTCTCCTAGTCTATACTTCCTGCCTGTCCATTGGCCAGAACAGCTTTATTTATGAGCCAATAAGAGAAACATATATTCACAGCATACAGAAGGACATTCCTACTTTGCTTCCTGTTCCTTCTGCACTTCCTGTCTCAATTCCTTCCCTGCTTCGCTTTCCATCCTGCACTGTTTCCTGTCTTGCCTAACTTTACTTCCCACTCTTCCCCCTTCACCTCCCTTCCTGCCCTGGTGCACTCGGCCCCAGTGACTCTGGCTTTAGAATCATGCAGGCCTAGCAACCTCCTAGTCACCAGCCTTGTGGCCTGTGGGATACACCAGTAGAGCAGCCTCTGAGACTGAGGCCCAGTGCCAGGAGAACCATTTCTGACTCTCTTGGACCTTACCTTTCTGGTCCTCCCACCCAGATGTGCCCATTTTGCCCTGAAGTGCAGTTCCTCAGTAACTGCTCACAACTGGCTGTATTGATGTCTCTTCAAGTAACAGATTTCTGTCTCAAGACTGGAATATCCCTACAACTAAAACCATAAGCAGAGCCACATAAAAGCAGAGAATGCCAGGAGGTGGGGCCTTTAATCCCAGCAGAGGCAGGCAGATCTCTGAGTTTGAGGCCAGCCTGATCTACAGAGCAAGGTCAAGGACATCCAGGGCTACACAGAGAAACCCTGTCTTAAAAACAGCAACAACAAAAACCAAAAACAAAAGCAGAGAGCAAGGTTGCCTCTAAAGGTCAAGATGGACAGGTGCTAAGCCAGACAGAAGCGCCTGTCATGAGATCAGATCTCCTGGTGTCTCCCAGGCCACCAGTGCTGTCCTTTCCCACTGGAAAGTTGCTTGAGCCCCAGATTCTGTGGGTATCTTTTAGGACATACTTAAAAAGGGTTTTGTTTGTTTTTACTTTATTTGGTATGTATGAAGGTTTTCCCCGCAGGCATGTCTGTGCCCACATGCATGCAATGTTTGGAGAGGTCAGGAGAGCGTCATATCCAGTGGAATTGTTACCAAAGCCACCATGTGGGTGCTGGAAATGGAACCTGAGTCCTCTGGAAGAGCAGCCAGTGTGCTTACTGCTGAGGGACAGCTCTCTCCAGTTCCAGGACAGACATTCTGTTTTTTGGTATTTATTTATTTATTTACTTATTTATTTATTTTCAAGTCAGAGTTTCTCTGTGTAACAGCCTGGAACTTGCTTTGTAGATTAGGCAGGCAGGCCTTGAACACACAGAGATCTGTTTTCCTCTGGTTTTTGTTTGCCGGGATTAAAGGCATGTGCCACCATGCCCAGCCATACGTTATTTTTGAAGGCTGTATGTGATATGGGTGAAGCCTTGGTCACATCTATCAGGCTTAATAGCTATCACACCCTGGGTTTCTGGAGGCTGTGATCCATGCTGGTTGGATGGTTTGCTTTGGATATCTTTTAGTAGATTTAAGCTCTGAAAAGGGACATTCTCCCCAAGATGCCCATATGGCCCACTCCCCCACTGTACTGGGGCTTTGGCTTTTAAGGCCACCTGTTCAGAGAGTGCTAGCATGGCCTGTCCCCTCAAAGACCCCCATTCTCCATTTCCTCACAGGACTGTCTCAGCTATTCTTGTCTGACTCATGCATGTACTGTCTGCTCTGACCAGCAGGTGGCAGCATTGCTCATTGTGCTCTCTGTTCTAGGACACAGTTACCTGATACATAGAAATAAAAATATTATACATTCATATGTGTATGTACATGTAAAATAATACATACAGATAAAAATAATTAAGGCTCGGAATATGAGTCATCATCTCCGGTTCATGTCCTTGCATTTAAATGCTACAGCTGATTGAATGTAGTGACTGGATTCCCTTGTTCAAGTGTGGGGACTCTGGCATCCAGAACAGGGATGCAGGAAGAGGTGTATATTAAAAGTATTTTTTCCCCTTCACTGTGATAAAATATGTGTGAAAACAGCTAAGAAAGGGCCTGTTTTGGCCCCCAGTTTCTGAGGTTTTGACCACCATGGCAGGACTCCATTGTTTCGGCACAAAGGTAAGGGCAGAGAATGTGGCAGAAGCTATTTACCTTATGACAGGAAGCAGAGAAACACAGAAATGGAGCAGGGACAAAATAAACCCCCTAGAGACATGCCCCTCTGGGACCTTGTGCTAGCTGGTTTTTGTTTTTCAACTTGACATAAGCTAGAATCATCTGAGAGAAAGGAACCTTAATTGAGAAAATGCCTCCATAAGATTAACCTGTGTGTAAGTCTGAGGGACATTTTCTTGATTGATGGTTGATGTGGGAGGGTCCAGCTCACTGTGGGTGGTGCCACCTCTGGACTGGTGGTCCTCGGTGCTATAAGAAAGCAGGCTGAGTGAGTCATTGGGAACAAGCCAGTAAACAGCAGAGTTGTGCTTCTGTCCATGCCTGCAGGTTCCTTCCCTGGCTTCACTCAGCAATGGACAGTGAGCTGTAAGCTGAAGTAAACCCATTCCTCCCCAGATTGTTTGTGGTCATGGTGTTTCTCACAGCACTAGGAAAGTAACGGAGACAGACCTGCTTCTTCCCAATAGCCCACTGATAAAGCTAGCACTCTGTGATCACCTCTCGGGTGAGACCAAACCTTCCACACATGAGCCTTTTGGGGGATGCTTCATATCAGACCCACAGCAAGGTAAAAGGCAAGAATTCCCTGGCCATGCAGGTAAGTGGGGGAGATGCAGGAAACCTGCACCTCACCGATGGAACATTTTGCAGAGCAGGAGCTGCAGAAAATAGCTTGGTGACTCCTTAAAAACCGTTGGGGAGAGATGGCTGAGTGGTTAAGAGCACTGGCTGCTCTTTCAGAGGACCCAGGTTCAGGTCCCAGCACCTGCACTGTAGGTCGTAACAATCTGTAACTCCAAGGGAATCCGATTCTTTTGCTCTTTGTGGGCATCAGGCATGTAAACTCATAGGTGCAGGTAAACTCAGACACATTAAATTAAAAAAGGAAAAAAAAACTCTTAAAAAGAAGTCAAATTGTCTTCTGACCCAGAAATTTTACACTGCCTGAGATGGGTCCAT